TATGTTCAGTCTCAACTGTTACGAAGTTGATGTGCAGTTAATAAGTGCAATAAATATTTTAATAATAAATATTTAAATAAATATTGGAAAAGAAAATCGTGAGAGAATCGTGATCTCAATTCTAAGCCAAAAAATCGTGATTCTCATTTTATGCAAAATCGTGCAGCCCTAATGTCAAAGCAAGAATATATCTGCTGCTCGGTCTGTGGTTTTTTGTCATACTCGGGGAACACGGCGTTGTTTTTTGTAACCGTTTCCTTCATTGGCGAGTTTCAAAAAAGGGTGGTTTTATTCTTGTCAACATGACGCTCTCATGACTCATCAAGTGACGCTACTGTCCAGCTAATCGGTGGCTTGCAGTCTGACGATGTTACATTTTAGTACTGACTAAGAACCCTGGGCAAGCAGGTACTAAAAAAGTACTTGGTAACAGGTACTATAACCTAATGGAAAACCCTGATAACTGTTGTGAACCGTGCCAAGTCGATCCGAGTAGGTACTAATAGAAAAGGGGCTTAAGGCTAACACAAGCTAACAGTACCTAACTAAGGCTAACTACAGCTAACTTAAGGCTAAGGGTAGCTAAATAAATGAGGACACTTCTCACCCTGCATTGACAGCTGAGGTAAACAGTGGACTAACAGCGTTCCACAGAAAATTCTCGGGGAGATCCGTCTAGGTGCGGCTGTTATGGGGTAAACTCAAAATGTTTTTGATCTCTGTTAGCTGACATGTTAGCATGTTTGTCCTACAGAAGCTAACATATCTAGAATTATGCACTTGAATTGGGCAGTGTAAGAAAACGGAACTCGGTTGACTGCAATCTGTAATCTACTGACATCTAGTGGTGAAAAATGTTACACACTGAAAGTTTAAGATTTGAAAGGTAATTCAAGCATGATTGTGTATGGCAATCTGTTAAATTACTGCAGGTGAAGGGACTTCTCAAACCTGGTTTCTTTACATATTAGATTTAAAATGCTGATATTTGTGTTAAAATAATACGATCTCTACATTTTCATAGTCAGGGGATCTTTTTAAGTGAATCGATTAAACAATGGGTGTTCCAGTTATTAATTGTGCCTAGCAAACTGGCACGTGGGTGTAGCACAGGCTGTAAAAGGAGCTGCAGCTCACTCTGAGTCTCTTTGATGTTTTTAGACACTTGTAACCAGCTCTCTCACACACACTCACACACACAGATGCATGAGTGGAGTGCCAGCAGTGCACCTTGGCACTGAAACAGATTTCATGAAAACACACACACACACAAACTTCCTGCCAGTGTGTCAGGAGAGTTGATATTAGACGTAAGGATGTTGGGGATTACAGCTGATATGATGGCTTCACACACACACAGTGCAAACACACAAACACTCAAATAGATAAGAAGGCAGATGACCCACTTGGCACCTTCTCGTACCTTCGTCTGTCTCACTATCGCGCTCTCTCTCACACACACACACACACACACACACACACACACACACACACACACAGGATGAAAGATGAATAAACCTGGAGGCCTGCATGCTTCAGACTCCTCCTCCTCCCTCCCCTGCCCTCTGCCACACACACCTGGTGGTGTGCCAGCAGCAGATGGGCACCGTGGCACAAATGACACAAAGATGTTTGACAATTTTAATAATAATCACAATAATAATCATAATAATGAAAGTGTGAATTGGAACAATAAAACAAAGGGAACAGCTGTAAGCGATCAAAGAGGTGCCTTTGCGAGTTCTCACAGAAACACGATGAAGATGTGCTTTAAAGGGGGGTTACAGTAGTAACCACTGTATGGCGAGTGACCTGAAAGCATCATTAATACAGCGAAGTTGAGCCGAAGCTCCAGCTGGCAGACGTCCAGACAGCAGAGCACCGGCCCCCGGCATTCAAATGCAAGAAGTAAACACAGAGCAGCTTCATTACTGCCAGAAATCTAATCAGCAAGGATACAAATCAACCAGGAGCAGCTGCAGAGTGCTGCCAGCGCCCTCCACAGGCTGCACACGTCAGTGCAGCAGTGCCTCTCAGACAGAGCCCATCAACACCATGTTTCAGCTGTCATCTCATTTATGATTAACCATTAACATCTCAGAGGTTCACCCACAGCCTCAGTGAGCACATGCAGCAGATTATCCATGATTGGCTGCTTTTATATCCTTATCTCTTTTTATTCTAGAAAAAATCAGCTTTTCACTGAATTTCCCAGAGGAATTATTAAAGTTCTATTTTTATTCTTAATATTAGACGGTACACCATACTTTGTGTCTACTGATTATCTTTATTTTTACCACTTTGGACAGTTTCAGTTCAGTTCAGCTTTATTTATATTGCACCAACAACAGTCGCCTCACGGCACTTCATATCGTAGGGTAAATATCCTACAATGATACAGAGAAACCCCAACAACAGACAACCCCCTATAAGCAAGCTTGGGAGACAGCTGGAAGGAAAAACTCCCTTTTAACAGGAAAAAACCTGGCGGAGCCAGGCTCAGTGAGGGGCGGCCATCTGAGAGACCAGTTAGATTTACTACTATCACAAGGGCTTATCCATTATTTTTAACAGTTTATGCAACTAGTAAAGGAGTCTAGGACTTGCTTATGATGGCTGTTTTAACATCAATGATTGTTGGCGATCTCCATGTTACCATGGAGATGTTTAAAATGTCTAAACATGAGTTAGCTTAGTGAGCGCGAAGCTTCAGAAAGCAAGTGAACAAAGTGGCGTACGATATAACATGTTCTCAAGGTTTTCAGCAAGACTGCGATAACGAAAATAATCGAGTCTATAGGGGAGTTTGGGATTTGCAGTGCATTATGGGATGAGTAGTTCCTTCACAGTTAAGTCACTCTCCACACGGTAGCTTTGCCTTTTTCAACTCAAGACTGGCTTCACTGAAAGCTTCACACTCTTTATGAGTTTGTAAAACCTCAGAGGAGAAGTGAACAAGAAGTTTCCGTCCAAAACTGGAGTCATAAAAAAGTGGACTGCAATTATTAAATTACAGGGTAAGTTTACTTGTCCTCAGACGTAAAAACACAGAACAGGTCGACTGTTCGTTACGAGCCGTGGCAGTCACAGGAAACTTGTACGTTCTTTATTTTTCAGTTTTTAAATTATCTTTGTTTTTACTTCCTGCTCCCGTGGGAAAGGAGTTTAAAACGTCCACACACGAATGACCAACTCTCTGTGTGTGTGTGTGTGTGTGTGTGTGTGTGTGTGTGCATGTGTGCGTGTCTCAGGTCAGCCCTATCTCTACAGGGCAGAGAGAGAGAGAGTGATAGATAGGTGGAGCGAGATCACGGTGCTGAGCTCAGCAGAAAACTCCCCACCAGATCCTGTCAGTCCTCCCCCTCCCTCTCCTTTCATCCCATCACACCATCATGCTATCTGTCAATAAAACGATGAAGAGTAGGGATGAGGGTGTGGGGGGGGGCTGGAGGCGAGGGGGTAGATGGATGTCCGGTTTTGAAGCTGATTGCTGCCTTTGTTCAGCAGGATTTTCAAATTGAAGCATTTGACAACAAAGAGCCGGATCGCTCCCTCGCTCCCTCCCTCCCTGCTTTAACACGGAGAGCCTCGCAGGGCTTTGTGGAAGAGCTTCTGTCCCCCGAGAATAGGATGGGGGGGGGCAGCAGAACATGAACACATCAGAGAGGAAGAGGGCCACAGCTTGTTGTTGTTGGTAGATGCTAATGTTGCGTGCTAACTGCTCTCATATACAATGATGACATAAACTCCTGTTGTGAGCTAATATTGAATATGTAAACAGAGACAAGCGGTGCTCGGCTGCTCGTCAGGCTGTTTGTTGGGAGCAGTGGCTTCAGAGTCTCATTTATAAAAGCGACTCATTTTTGTCTTTTTTTAAGGAGGGCAGTAATTTTATCACCTCCTGAGCCAATTCATCCGCCCGCCACAGTTAACAGCTCTGAGCTGAACAGAGTCCCACTACTGCACACACAGGTGGGGCAATTTTAAATGCATACACCTGTGCACTTACTGGAGTGTTTAACGAGGAGCTAAACAACAACACCTGTCCGCACACAATCCCTGCATCATGCGCTTCAGGGTGAGCTCAGAAAACGTTCCCTGGAAGCTGCAGGAGGATCATATGTCGAAGCTAATCTGCTGGTTCTGCTCGGCCAGAAAATCCCAGTGACTGATGCAAACACACAGTCACTCAGAATTTCTCCTTAAAATATTCTCCCAGGTTATTGGTGCTTTAACGTGGAGTTAATCAGGCTGTTCAATCAGTTGTGTTTTTGAAACGCAGGAATATTCACACGAGACATCTAGCGGGACGATAAGTGAAACTTATTTTCAAGGTCTGTCCCTCTCTTGTCCTTCACCTCCATCGGCACCATCTCTCCGTCACTTTACAGTTTTTGTTTTAGAAGTGCAGATTTAGCACAGAGGTTTCTGTTGGTCTAGTTTCCAGGGGAGAGGAGGTCCAGGATATAGCCTAACCCCGTCACTGGAAGAATGTGATAAAACTTATGTTATGCTTGTGGCGTGACGGGCGGTCAGATGTCCAGTGACGCGTTGTGTTGCAGCATCTCTTCAGGCAGGAGGAAACACATTTAATAAGAGTCAACCTTTACTTTTTAAATGTGCACTTTGGATGATTAGAAGCTTTAGCCTTCTTTTCTCGTGTGCAGCAGCTTTATGAGACAGTAACTGCTGCCGCAGCAGGCTTTCATTGGAGTGTCCGTACTCCCATGAAGTCTCCTTCACTGCTGGAAGTTTCTTGTCTCCTTTAAGTAAACCTGAAAGTGTCAGTGAGGAGCTTTCACAGCTTGTCCTCCTGATTTTTATCAACATGTTTAATGCACCTTGTTCAGCCTCCAGGTGTGTGTGTGTGTGTGTGTGTGTGTGTGTGTGTGTGTGTGTGTGTGTGTGTGTGTGTGTGTGTGTGTGTGTGTGTGTGTTCACTGGTTATATAAAAATGTCACCGTATCCGTACTGACACTCTCTGTCTGTCCGTCCATCAGCGCCCATCGCAGCCGGCACCGGGCCAAACTTCTCGCTGGCCGACCTCGACAGCTCCTCCTACTACAGCATGAGCCCAGGAGCCATGAGGAGACCACTGCCCAGTACCTCCTCCTCCAGGTACACACCAGCACACTCAGCACCTCCTCCTGTTGTTCATGTGACAATTTATCAGTTTTAATGACTGCAGTCAATCAATCGATTGACTAAGGTCAAAGTGTTTCTCAAAGAGGGAAACATGCGCGTCATAGAAAACTCTAAACAATGATCCAATAAGTGCTTTTGTAAAATAGAAGAAGTAGAAAACTGATTCTATAATATTTCATGGAGCACCTGTAATAAAATAAATGGGACGCAGAGTCTGTGCAGTGACTCGCAGCACCTGCGCCCTGTTTAAATAACCTTTGTTGAGCTGTCAGCGGACAGAATGGTGAGGCGTCAGTGCTGAGTGTAAGCGCCACCTAGTGGCCCGTGGACTGACCTTTCAGCGATGCTGGAGAAGTCGCTTCATCATTGGCCGATGTTCCCAAACCAGAACTCGAGATGGCTTCATTTCGTTTTTTACTTCCAAACATTCAAATCCAGATGGTTTATGTTCCAGCCGTACAGTGCTCAGAGGACACACAAACAAAGAGTTGGTTGGATTTGTGAAATGAAATGACTGCAATGGACAGATGCAAGGATGACGACGGTCACACCCTCGTGCAGTGCACTGGATGGATGCTGTATCACAGACACGATAGGACAGCTGTCAGTATTTCACTAACTCACCTGCAGGGTGTGTAGAGTGTAGAGGCTACGGCAGCTTTGGTCTGTGCATGAACACTAACTGTTTGTTCCTAATGTGGCTTAATGTATGTTAGAGCACACACACACACACACACACACACACACACACACACACACACACACAGCTGATTGGTTCTGATCTGAAAAACAGCCCTTAGAACACATGTGTCAAAGTCAAGGCCCGCGGGCCACATCCGGCCCGGCGTACATTTATATCTGGCCCGCGAGATCATTTTATATAGATATATTATTATTGTTATGCATGGCCTGGCGATAGGAGGTGCTAATAATATACAAACAACAGATCCCATAATGCAGCGCTGCAGCCTCCTTGCCGAACGCTAGGCTATTTGGGAACATTCCCGCGTCAATCAAGTCAAACTTTTGTTATTGCGAAGCTAGCCGCTCACAATGGTGGAGAGAAAAGTTGACTCTGAAAGCAGAGCCTTTCAGCGCCAGTGGGTGACTGACTATATGTTTACAGACATTGCTAGTAAACCCGTGTGTCTTAATAGTGTTGCTAATGTGGCTGTAATTAAGGAATTTAATTTAAGACGGCACTACGAGACAAAACATCAGGATAAGCTGAAAAACCTAAATGCAGAGAAGAAACTACAGAAAGTAGAAGAGCTAAAGACAAATCTGACATTTCAGCAGACTTGTTTTCACCAGAGCAAAATCACAAAGTGAAGCTGTTGTGAAAGCAAGTTTTATTGTAGCAGTGGAGATAGCCAAATCAGCCCGGTACCACTGTAAAGAGCTGCATGATGAAGGTGTGCGACGTCTTGTGTCCAGACAAAATGCAGATTTTGGCAAATGTGAGCCTGAGGAGAAATACGATTGCTGATGGGGTTTGTGAGATGGCCACTGATTTAAGAACACAGTTGTGTGAAAAAAGCAGAAACTTTATCGCATACTCTCTTGCTGTGGATGAAAGTATAGACATGATGGACATTGCACAGCTGGCCATCTTCATCCGTGGAGAGGAAATATTGAACATTAAATCGATGCACGGGACAATGACAGGAAAAGACATTTTTTAAAACGTATGTCAAAGTGTAACAAACTTGTTGGACTTACAACAGATGGAGCGCCGGTGTTGTGCGGTGAAAAAAGCGGACTAGTCAGCAGGATGCGAGTAAAGATGCAGGAGGAGAACTGCACTGGTGGGTTAACAGCATATCACTGCATCACACACCAGGAAAGGCTGTGTGGTAAAATGGAGCATGTAATGATCACCGTAACACAAACCGTAAATTTTATCCAAGCTAAAGGTTTAAATTACCGTCAATTTCAGTCTTTTATGTGGGAAATAGATTCAGAGTTTGCCGACATGCCATCATACAGAGGTCCTTTGGCTGAGTTGGGGAAAAGTTCTCAATAAGAGTTTTTGAGCTCAGCAAGGAAACCTGTCAATTCATGGACATGACATGTATGATGCGGTGAAGGCATTTCAAGTGAAGCTGTCACAAATGCACCAGTGCAACTTGCCTCACTTTCCCTGTTGCCAAGTAATGTTGAACCAAATCAGCGCACTTTGCTGAACTGCACCTGTGCAGATTCAGATGGAGCTGCAGTGTAATGATACACTCAAGGGAAAGTACGACACTGAATGGCCCGCACAGTTTATTAGTTCCACTCCTGAAGCAATGCTCCGTCTACATGCGGCTCCAACCTTGTGTTTGCTTTCATTTATTTTTTTCTGGGGTTTTGGCAGCATGTTCATATTTCTAACTTGCATAATTTTGACAGGATATATTTTTATGAAGAGCAAAATATTTAAAGTTAAAGTTTATTTTTTTAAGTTTATTTAATCTGGAATAACATTCCTGTCTGTTTTTATTCATATTTGTTTAAAAAACATTGTTTTAGTGTGTTCAATAAATGTTTATCTTGTTTGGCCTGCGACCTAAAGTGTGCCTTGAGTTTTGGCCCCCTGTGCAATTGAGTTTGACACCCCTGCCTTAGAAGGTACTCACAACTCACTGATATCCTCACAGTGATGGTTTAAACTCAAATGATTATACAAACACACTCTCTCTCTCACTCACACACACACACACACTCTCTCACACACATATGCTTGCAGGGTTTGCCCTGACCTCTTCTCTTAAATCGATGCGGTCGCAAAAGTCGTCTGTCTGCTGAAATACCTGCCCTGCAGCGCACACGCACGCACGCACGCACACACAGTTAGCTGAGTGTGTGTGTGTGTGTCCTCTGTCTTCTACACCCTCTCCCCCTCTCTCTTCTCTGACTCCAAACACATCTCCAGAGACCTCCCACACACACACATTACCACACACACACACACACAGAGATCGCTGTGAGGCAGTGAAGCAGATCCATATGGAAATATTTAAGTCTTTACTAATGTCAAAGACCCTCCATTCATACAAACACATCTCAGTGTACAGGCAGAACACACACACACACACACACACACACACACACACACACACACACACACACACACACACTGTTAATGTTTTAACTTCCTGTTAAACAAACAGATCTGGCCAGTGAGGTGTAAACCTGCTGTCTGTGAGTCGTTGCTCTCATTTCTCAGGCTTAAACCTTAAAGTAAAGCAAACAGAAAATGTGTGAAATGCATAAATAACTGCACAAGTACACAAAGACTACAGCTGGGTTTGGAGGGTAAAGGAGGACATGTAAATTTATGTCTTACAGAAAGGTATGAATTCAGACTTTGTCCTTCCTTTTCTTCCTGTCAGGGATGCTCTGGTTTATCCAGTGTGAGCATCCATCAGATGCTGCTGTAAGTTGATGCCTGAGAGTCATTTAGTCCACGGGACGTGTACGGTTTGATCTCATGTCAACCCTCCTCGCTGCTCTTTTCTTTTTACCATAAAACGCCACATTGTCAAAGTTCACATGGAGTCAGCCAATCAGTGATGTCAACAAATGAGCACTGGACTCCAGTGAAAGCAAAAATGGCCTCCATGGAAAAGTTCAAGGAAAACACCACTGCTAGCCAAGAAGATCACAAAAGCAAACTGCAAACAAACATCTGGATGATCTCCGAGACTTCTGGGAAATCTTCTGTAGACTGACAAGACAGAAGCTGAACTTTGTGGAAGGTTTCAGTCCCATTACATCTGCATCAAACTAACAGCTTTGTTCCCTTAATGAATGAAATCATCATTTAAAACCTGCACTCTGCATTTACTCAGGTTCTCTTTATTTGATGATCTGAAACATGTGAGTGTGACCAATATGTGGGGAAAAAAGAAATAAGGGAGGGGCAGGTAGGTGAGATTGAACAGTTGGATGTGTGGGAGGGAGCCTGATGTGCTGGTCTCAGGTTTGGGTGGGACTTCAAACAGCTGATAGCAGGAATCAGAGGGGTCTGTGTGGGTGTTTAGGACTCCACCTGTTCTCCGTTTGAGCTCTGAGCTGGAGAACAGCGGGGTTAATAATGGGAGGAGTCACCAATGCTGCTCTGTCTCTCTGCAGCTCTGCCAAGAGGATAAAGTGCATGGAGGAGGACGTGGACAGCCCGGGGGAGGAGTCCTACTACCCAAGCCAGGGTCGGTCTCCAGGCAGCGGCAGCCAGGCCAGCAGCTGGCACGACGTGGAGCCAGGTATGTAACCACACCCCGAAACGAAACCCCAGCCGCCTCCTCTAATAACAGCCCCGCCATCTTAATACCCCATCTGACCCCGGCCCTAACACTCCCCCCACCTCCACCATGCAGACTCTCGTCATCACACATCCCAGAGCTAACCTGCCGCTCCAACGCAGCCCAGCGGAGCGATGCTACCATGGTGCAGTGTGCAGTTGGTGCTTCCAGCAGGGTGTGGGTGTGTGTGTGTGTGTGTGTGTGTGTGTGTGTGTGTGTGTAAGAGTGATTTTTTTAATGTTTTGTCAGAGAGTGTGATCTCTCGACTGCCTGTCTCATAAAGAGGACGTCACAGGTTTGATCCTGCACACTTGCAGAATCAGATCCAAAACAGTCACATAAACAGGAAGCAGCCTCCAGCATGCCTCCGTGTAGCTCAGTGTGAATCTGAACAGTTCAGAGACACAAATCTGTTCAGTGAGCCTCACGAAGCCGAGAAAGGGGGGAAAAATTTAATTCGCATTAATATGTCATTAAACTGTCATCTCAGAAGAAATCCATGTTTTTTAATTTGTCTTATAATTATTATAAATTAGTCGATTCATTCTTCACTTTTAATTACTTTTTCAACAGTCAGGCAGTTTGTTTAGTTACCCTTAGTTACCTTTAATTTTTGTATTTTTACGTCATATTTTTAAATATTTCTTTGGTGGGTTTTTCTGGATAGAGAAGTCAAATTATACATTTAAATTTCAAATGTTTTGATATAATATAAATAATAATCTGGCATTTGACAAATATACAAATATCAGTCAAATAAAATATATTTTAATACAAAAAGTCTTTACGTTCATTTTGACATTTTTATTCAGTATTTTTATGATATTTTATTTCAGTGAATGTTGCGTTTTTCAAATATATTTATAGATATTCTTTGCGTGGCTTTTATGGGTTAGAATGATTTTATATTTTGTTTGCCAGGTGTTTGTTTGCCATTTTGTTAAATGGGTTGGAAATTTTTTCAGTTACATGTTTTAGTTTTTATTCTTAATTCAATTTTACATGATCATTTATTTATTTTTAATGTTCGTTAAAACTATACTGTAATTGTTATTGAACTTATTAAAATATTTAGATAGAAATTTTATTCTTGCATTTAAAAGATGTGAATATCAATCAAATATAATGTTTATTAATAATATTAGAATAAGAATATTATATTTTTATAATTGCTATTATGAAGGTATTTAAATTTTCTTTCTGTTCTAAAACATTTTTTAATAATATTTTGGAAATTCGAGCAGACCCCCGCGAGTACCCGGTTCGATTCCCAGCCGAGCGACCATCTGCTGCATGTCGTTCTTCTCTCTGTGCTGTTTCCTGTCACTCTCTCTGCTCTCAGTCTTTTGAAGGAACAAAAATGTCCAGGAAGATATGTGCAGAATAAACTGCTTTCCTAATATAAATTCATTTTACAGAGATGTTTAGGTTTCTGTTGAGTATTTCTATGATTTCAGTACAATCAAATCTATTTTTAAAGCAGGTTTACAGCTACAACAGAAGCACGTCCACTCTGGTTCAAACTGAATTATAAATCACAGGTTAGCTGTCTCAAAGGAAACTAAAAATATTTTATTTTTATTTGCGTTAGAAAAAATAGAAAATTGCTTTAATTCTCAGTTATTATTTATTATATTCAGTTCATTGCATTCACATTGTTCCAGTGCATTTTTGGTTTATTTTATTTTTTACTTTCATTTTTGCAGACTGAGAGATTTTGTAGTTTTATTTTGGTAACCATGTTCTTAAACACACACGCATACACTGATTATATTTATGAGTTCCTTCCTCTTCCTGTCTCCTCTTCCTCTCTCGGCCAGTGTATTCATGCTACTTTTCCTTTCCGTTTCTTTTCTTCCTTTCCTCCGTCTTGCGTTGGAAAGCTGGATATAAGCTGCGTGGCTCTCTAGCTAGCTCTTTCATCTCCCGACAAGGTAAAGACGTCAACACGCCTCCTCACTTCCTGTCTACATGTCTGTGAAACCGCCTCCTCCTCCTTCTCCTCCTTTTTGTCTGAGTTTCCGTCTCGTGCCCCCCTCAACCTCCTTCACCTCCCCACCGCACTCCACCCAACCCTAACTCCACTCACCTGGCAGCATGCTGATGATGTCACTGTGGCACGTCGATTTTGTTTAGTTTGTGGACGAGAAAACCAGCTGGATGGACAGCAGGACAGTTTGTGTCTGTGTGCGAGTGTGTGTGTGTGTGTGTGTTGAATGTGAATATGTGACATGGTAACGAGTAAAGGTGTTGTTAGTTTGTGTATCAGGAGACGTTTGAATCTGATAAATGACCAAAACTAACCACAGATTGTATATTAAAGATGGAAGGTAACTCAAACTGGTTTTCAGTGTGAGGCAGCCTAATGGCTGCTGGATGAGAGGGTGGAGCTCTAACTTACTGCTAATTAGTAACATCAAAACCCTTGAATTTCACTCAGCAGTCCTGGAGCTCCGCCTTTTTGGACGCTCTGCTAGTACAGGAACCTCACAGCAGCCAAGTTATTGGTCAGTTGACGTCATTATGACAGTCCAGAGGTCGAGTTCGGGTGAAGCCGAGCAGACAGCTAGCGGCTACAGCCACCTGTGTCACCATCCACCTGTCAATCAAAGAGGCCACACCCCTAATTATTATGAAGGGCAATATTATCTAGAGACCAAACAGTTTCTGGATTGTGTTGTATTGGACAAAGGTGGATGAAGATGGAGTTGCCAAGCAGAAAGAGAAGAGGAAGACCTCAGAGGATGTTCATGGATGTAGTGATGGAGGACATATTGGTGTGAGAGAGGAGGATGCTGGGAATGATGGAGGCAGACGATCTGCTGTGGAGACCCGTTAAAGGTCTCCACATTTAATTAAATGGTTGTGGGTTTTTATGTTTATTTTATTGTGTTGTTCCATTTTCATTTTGTAATGTTTTACAGATTTTTATTTGAAATTACATGTTTGGTTAAATTATTAACTGGGACACATTAAATAATGGCTAAATGGATGATGAATGAATGAATCATAATCAGTGATGGATTGATGGATCATGGATGGATGGATGATGAAGGATAGATGGATGGAGGATGGATGGATGGATGATGAAGGATGGATGATGGATGGATGAATGATGGATGCATCATGGATGAATGATGGATGCATCATGGATGAATGATGATGCATCATAGATGGATAAATCATGGATGGATGACGAATGATGGATGGGTTGATGATGGATGGATGGATGAATAATGGATCACGGATGGATGGATGGATGGATGGATGGATCTTGAATGAATGATGGATGATTAATAATGGTGGATGCATCATGGATGGATGATGATGAATGATTGATGGGTGGATGGATAATGAATGATGGAGGGATGGACGATGGATGGATCAATCATGGATGACTGATAGATTGGATGGATGGATGGATGTGGAAACAGGATGAGGAAGAAGATATTGAACAGCCTCAGTTCCACCTGACAAAACCTCTTCGGTCCTTCATCACACTCACAAACAAACAACCCCCTCTGCCTCTTCCTCCTCCTACTGCACCTCTGCCCGTCACTACAAGCCCCACCCCTTCCAGGTAGACCACAATCTGTGTTGTTCCCTCTGTTCACAGCTCGTCTCCGAGCTGTGGAACAATCGTGTGTTTGTGCTGATAATCAGCCATGCAGAGCCTTATTTGCAGTAAAAGTACTTCAGAGTAAAAGTACTCCATTACAATAAAATTATTGCATGTAGAAAGCAGCCAGCCCGGGTTCAAATCTGACATGCGGCCCTTTGCCACATGTTTCCCGCCCCTCGTGTCACTCTTCACTCCACTGTGTAATAAAGGCCAAAAATAAAATATTTTAAAAAGCTGTATTGAAGATGATCACTGTTGTTCCTGTGATGAACTAATTCAGCCTGAACGGCATCTATCTGGTAGCTATGGTAAAAATTAAAATGTGAGCAGTCAAGATGTTCCCGTCTGCTGAAGCTTATTAAATATTTCAAATAAAAATCATCACATGTAAGTGTGTCTCGATATTAACAGCAGCCAGGTTATGTTTGTTTTTATCCCAGCTGATAGCGTTTCACACTGCTGAGCTGACAGGAAAGAGAAACAGCATGTCTGAGTTTCACGTCTCTCAGAAAACTGACTTTTTATGTTTGAATAAAAATGCTGCCGGCTGGCCCATCTGACACACAAAGAAATAAAAATAAATGATGGGCTTTAGATCATCACTCACATTCACATTTTTGTTTGGTTTTGTGTGTTTTTATTTATATATTTTGTTGCACACTTTTCATGTCGATATTATTATTTTTATAAAATTTCAGGCTTTTGTTCTTTTTTATATTTTAGTGTTTCATTTTATTTGTCATCATTTTTACTCATGTTGTCCTTTTTTGCTGGTATCTAAAAACTTAAAAAGGTTTAGACACACTAAACTCTCTGACACCTGCAGCCTGTGACTCAATCTCCAAGCCCCGCCCCTGATCTCTAAGCCCCACTCCAAACCACCACCTCCCTCCTCCCAACTCCTCCCCACATTGGAGGTGCATAAAAAGTGTTTAAAGAATCAAATCTGCCATGACCCGCTCCTCCTCATCATGATCATCATGGTTCTTGGCAGGGATGCCGTCACCCGCCAGCGCTCTAAAGAGGTCAGAGAAGTCCGGTTTCTGCGGCACTGCGCCTTCACCGAGCGGCGCTTCCTCCACCTCCTCCTCTTCTTCTTCCTCCTCTTCCCCCCGAACGGCTTTCACACACCATCACCGGCCCGTCATTACCGGGCCTCGAGGTGAGGTCATCCCCAGAAACCTCCCTCACCCGCCTCCCACCACACACACTCACCTCCTTCACCCCACCCCCGTCAGTCTCTGTGGATTTTGTCAGGAGGAGGCACCTGTAGACACACACCTTATAGGCTGTAGGCAGGGCACTGTGTGTGTGTGTGTGTGTGTGTGTGTGTGTGTGTGTGTGTGTGTGTGTGTGTGTGTGTGTGTGTTATGAGAGCATCCTTCCCACCTCACACCTGTTCTTACGTCCCACCCACCCACCACTAACCCGTCTCCTGCTCCTTTCTCGTCTTCTGATTGGCTGAAATAATCTACCACAGAAACACACTTCCTCCTTATGTGTGTGTGTGTGTGTGTGTGTGTCTGTGCGGCTGTTGAGTCTTGAGAAGTGTTTTCCATAATAATAATCTGCAGATAATCCTCATTCATCACTTTACCATCTAATCTGGCGAGCAGCTGAAAACTCACAGATCAGCTAAAAAATGATTTTTAAGATGACAAACTTTCTGTGTAGTACAACAGGAAGCAGAGGGGTTATAAAATAATCTGATTTACTGAGCAGCACAGGCGCACCTTAACGATGCGTCATGTGATGCTTTGTCCAACATGAGGAAATGAAATCCTCACATTTAGTGTGATTTGCTTGTAGTTCATGTCTCAGTGAAGTCTGTGCAGGAGAGCTGATAAAGTCGTCACATTACATGTAAGAAAACATTCCATCTTAAAAGCTGCAACAGCCGTCAGAGCTGTGACAAAGATTAGTAGGCAGCAGGAAATCCTGCAATTTCGCTGCTGAAAGTTAAATGTTTCACTTTTTCGAGCTTCTTATTATTTCATCTGTTACCAATTAAAAGGCCTCAACACCGAACAGTCACGTCTTTTATTGTGAAAGCTCTGCAGGAACGAGTTGAAGCAAACTCTGAGAGATTTTGAGTTGAGGTGGTTCAGGCATCTGACAAGGATGCCTCCTTGGCGAGGTTTTCCGGGCAGGTCCCACCAGGAGGAGGCCCCGGGACAGACCCAGGACACGGTGGAGATTATATCTCTCGGCTGGCTTGGGAACGCCTTGGTGTTCCCCCGGACAAGCTGGAGGAGGTGGCTGGGGAGAGGGAGGTCTGGGCTTCTCTGCTTGGGCTGCTGCCCCCGCGACCCGGCCCCGGATAAGCAGAAGAAAATGGATGGATGGTCTGAAGATCACTTTTGGCCTTTCTTATCAAGGTCTTTCCTCCACACCCCCTCTCTGCACCTCCAGTGATGGAGTATGGAGTATTTCTGTATTTTCTCCATCCTCACCTCCTTTAAAATTCTTCCACATGTGGTGAAAATGAAGGAACTCTGCTGTTTTAATTCTTTGCCTTCTTCTTATCGTTTATCAATCCACCTCCTGATGGAGAATATCTTCTTCAAGGAATAGTTGGCAGGGGAGAGAGGAGGAGGAGGAGAGGGGTGTCTGAGGTAGTGAAGCGAGGCAATTTGCAAAGTGGAACTAATCCCAGCTCTTTCTTCTGTGTTCGACATACCACACACACCGCTGCTGCAGCGCCGCTGAAGGCAAATCCTCCGCTTTGCCGTCTCGCCCGAAGAAAGACAAGAAGATCGATATCAGAGAAGTTCACAGATTCAGCTGATGACAGGGAAATCACACACTTTCATCCTACAGCTGAGATAGACGCTGAGATGTGGGAAGGGGGCTGATTTTACGCTGTGATTGGATTGGCCACCTGATCTATGCTTTAGCAAAAAGGAAAGTGTGAAGACTAATCTGAAAAGCAGAGATAGTGTCTGTCTCCCGAATCCAAATTGGAAGCTGGTTCCACAGAGTAGGGTCCTGAAAACTGAAGGCTCTGCATCCCATTCTACTTGAAAATACTCTAGGAACAACAAGTAAGCCTGCAGTCTGAGAGCGAAGTGCTTTAATGGGGTGATATGGTACTGTAAGGTCATTAAGATAAGATGTGTCCGGATTATTCAGCAGGAGCAGGATTTTAAATTCTGGATTTAACAGGGAGCCAATGAGGGGATCTGAGGAGAAACGTGCGTGTTTTTATCTTTGGAAGTTGGTTTGTGGGTGTGAGATCCACTGGTTTACTCTGTCGATCACTGAGGCCATCAAATAAATGAAGTTGGCACAATGCATCGGAAAAAAATCCCAGAAACAGGATGTGGGACCAAACTAAATCAAACACACACACAGGTGGCTGAGCATGCCTGCACACTGAGTGAGATCATTTCTATTAATGTACACACACTCTGTCCCCGTGTGTGTGTGTGTCTGTGGTTACAAGAGAAAGAGAGAGGGCAGAGAAAGCCATCCATCCAATGATTACTGTAAATACACTGCTACAGAGCACATACACACACACACACATACTCACACACACGGGCGGTCAGTGTGTATTGTCAGAGTGATAAATCACAGCAGACTTTAAGTGAATTAGTGCAGCAGCTTTAACTCTCCTTCCTACGCTCCCTCGCTCTCTCTCTGTCATTTCTAATGTCTCTCTATCTCCCTCGCTCCCCCCTCAGCATCTTCTCTGCACTCTCCTCAGACCTCCATACATCACAGGCCTTAACGAGGCCTCATCCGCTAACGAGCAATCAGAGAGTATTAGACCAATTAGAGCCTTAATTAGACTGAAGGAGAGAAGGAAGAGGAGGAGCCACGTAAATGATGTAGCCTCACCTCCATACACCTGTAGTGATTGACAGCTGGGGTGTCCTGTTGTCATTGGTTCATCTGCTCTGTGTGTCCATCGTCATGTATCTGCATGTTAAGCCACGCCCCCTTAATAAACTTAATAAACTCCTTGCTTCCCACAATGATTATGTCTCTACCTTCCTCCCCCAACTCTCCTTCCCTTTAATCATTTAATCTCTTCCTCTCTCTCTCCCCCCTCAGCGAGCCCCCACGCTCCCCCTTCCAGCCTCCACTTCTCCTCCTCCCCCATCCTGCAGCAGCCTGGCTCCTACTTCTCCCACCCAGCCATCAGGTATCACCCGCAGGAGACGCTCAAGGAGTTCGTCCAGCTGGTCTGTCCTGACTCCGCCCAGCAGGCCGGACAGGTGGGCTTCCTCAACGTAAGCACGCACAGAGACACAGACACATGCACGCACACACACATGTACACACACACAAACACATCTGAGCTGGGTTTTCCAGCCTCTGCAAAGGTGGGATCTGTTTGCAAAAGTGCTGCAGTGTGTGTGTGTGTGTGTGTGTGCCTGTGTGTGTGGCCTTTGTACTGCAGTGAGATAGTTGATATATCTAAGTCTAGACACTGAATCAATACACCTTCCACACACACACACACACACACAGGCAGACACACACACACACAGGCTCAGACACACAAACACAAACACAGAGCATCTGCTTTCCGTTTTTCCTACATGTTGGCCCGACTGCAGGGCGATCCCGATTGGAAGGCCGAGCCGCCTCTAACTTAACCTTAACCCCCGAGCACTCGTTCTCTGCCTGGTGTCGACTGGATGAAACAGCTGATCTTTTTCTAATCGTTACTAAGAACCGATTAAAATTGCGCGATAGTCACACTGAAATTTGTTGGAAACTGAAAGCATATTTTGTTTTGTTTTTTAACCTGGATAAAAACCAGGAAAAGAAAGCAGCCCGTGTCCTGTTTGAACACTTTGTCAGCTTTGCATTTCAAAAAATTAAAACCCATCATGTCAAATTTCTCAAATTCTAAAATGCGATGTTTGGGACAAAAAAAAAAACTCACAACCTCACACGCACACAGATATAGCCGCTGGGAGGAGTGTTTCCACTATAGACACGCCCCTTTCACTTAATTGCAGAGTGTCACCAAGAGATGGGGCTTTCTTCCAAAAACCCTTGACCTGGATCGTTAGCTACAGATGGTTTTCTCACTTTTATTGTCGGGTCTTTGCTTTATACTCTAAAGCTCGCTGAGGCCACTGTTGTAAATAAAACTGAATTGAATTTGACATTCTTTGATAGCTGTCGCTGTAAAACTCTTTACCCATTAAAATATAAAAACTTTAATTTTTTAAATGTAAAATAAAGGATAAAACTTCACAGTCTATTTGGCCATCCAGACGTTTTATACTGCAGATCACTAAAACTGTTTCCAGTAAAGTTCTTCATTTATCCATTTCAATCTAATCTAATAAATAAATAAAAAATTTTAAAAAAGAAATAAGCTTCCTCATAGATCCCAAACCAGATGTGGAGGTGATTTCTGAGACTGGTACATCTTCATTTATCATTTATTCTGTTGCTTGCTGGGCTGTTGCCTTTTCAGACCTCTGTTTGAATTATAAGCGCATCCTTCATCGTTTCTGTTAAGTTGCAGCTTAATATTCTCATTCATTCTTTAGATTTCTTTAAACTCTCATGTTGTGCAAAAGTCTTGAGCGAAATGTAATTCCTCTATAGTTTGTATAAGAGAGGCCGGACTTTCACCTGCCCTCCAGGCTGTATGATGGTTCCAGAATTGTCCTTTGGACATCCTCGTACCTGAGATGGGGATGTTTATGAAAGTTTATCAGAATAGTGTTACCTTGATGGATGTGCCTGGGTGTGTAACTCTTATCAGCTGAGTTGTCCAGGGGCTGGGATGATGTCTTTGGAAATGTGCGACATAAGCAAACAAACAAAGCAACCTCATGGTGCCTTCCATAAAACAGGACATCAGAAGACTGCCAAAGAAATGGAGTGCAGACTACTGTGTAAATTTTAATAAATGTAAGGTTTTCCTGTTTGATCTTCAGTTTCTGTTGAAAATCTTTGTTTCAAAAAGGAGAGACGCACTTTCACAGTTACTCCAAGATAAAACGAGTAATATTCTGATGTCAGAGTTTTCATGTACGCGGCGCTGCACTGAAATCTGTTTCTCTAAATGAGCGGCCTGACTAAACTAAACATGCATGTTCCGTCACGTCATTGCACCAAGTAGAAATTACTTCTGCATGTTGTTAATTTACACTCTGGTATAATTTTTATGTATGCAAACTTTAAAAACAGGATTTCAACATTTGTAAAAATCTAAATGCAACCTATGTGATGAAATTTATTAAAGGACACGGCGGTGGCGTTCAAACATCGCAGAGATGGGGGATTGCTGCTTGTCTGTAGGAGGCTCGGAGCACGACAGTTGAACAACAAGCACTAAAATGAGAAAAGTGAAAAGTCCGGGAATATACAAAGAAAATGATTCCTGTTCGTGAGTTCAAATCACAGTCTGCGTTCTCGCTCACCTGTCTGTAAACGTTGGCGCTAAAATTCCTGCAGTGATTTATCACAGATGTGCAGAGCGCTGAAGGAGAGTTAAAAAATAGAAGCGGTTCACAGCTGCAGTTTACTGCACTTTAAATCCAGACATTATTAGTAAAACTACTGTTAATATATTTAACAAACTGTGTTATTAAAGTGTTTATTTATGTATCCATCATCAGGATTCTAATAAATTCAATAATTGCAGTGAAAAAGCAGCTTTAAATGCTCAGGACTCATCAGTACTGAAGGTCAACGCTATGATTCTCTTCTAATTCTAGGATCTATGAACAAATTGAAAAGGTCTCGTGTAACAAGCTTGTAAATGAATACGCCTCCACCCTGCTCCCCCTGATGGATACACAAGCCATTACAACTGATTTTCCTAAATGCTGCTTAGAGGTCTTACTACCCGATGTTGTGTTGTTCCCGTCATAGGCGGGAATATCATTACGGTCCCTCAGGGAGTCAGTCAAACTGATCAGAGAGTCGAATCACAGTAAATAAAGAGTAAAGTCAGAGGAGAGCAGCCAATCAGATGGCTCCACGCCTGAGGAGTAGAGCTGAGTAGGTGTCCCGGTGTCTTACTGATTTGAATCCCTCCTCGGTCCTTGCTCTTTGTTATGGTCAGTTTTCTTTGAAGGCAAACATATTTGTCCCTTTCTTTTTTTTCCCACTTCTTTGTATGTTTCTTCACATCCACTCTTATCGCCCTGCTGTCTGTCAGTCTTCGTATTAAGGTGTTGATTATTGTTCTGATAAAGTCAATAATTGCAGTGAAAAAGTAGCTGGAAATGCTCAGGAGGACTCGTCGGTACTGAACAGACCAATCACAGTGGTTTGGGCTGCGTTAACGCAGCGTTTCCAGGAAGGTTTCAGAAGGGTTTGTGTTTGCGACGTACCTGCAGCATTGATTTAACACTGAAGCACCTGCACGTCCTTCTTGGGCTAAAAGCAGGAGGAATTCTGTGTACAGGTGTTTTGGATCATCATTTTATGGATGAGAACAAAATTAAACCAACATGTCCTTCTGACTGATGGAAACAAAGACGCACGTCTTTACTGCACTGACAGGACAAATATTTCATGCTTTGTGAGAGATGGTTCTTCACTTCCAGGCAGGTCTGTCACAGCAGTTTTTGCTGCATGTTCAGCCCAGGGGCGTAATTTGCAGGGGGGTTACAGTGGTAACCCTTACCCTAAACCATAACCTAACTGTAACGCTGACACTAAAACCACATTTTGAATCTCAAAACTCCCTTCAAACACACACACACTCTCACACACACACACACACGCACACTGTCACACAGTCTCACTCTCACACACTCTCAGACACTCTGTCTCTCTCTCTCTTTCTCACACACACACACACACACACTGAGAGGACGAGCTGTGACCGACCTGTTGATGTTTCTTTACAGAATATCGTACACATATTCTAACTGTGTCCCCCCCCACCTCTTCAGCCTAATGGTAGCTCCCAGGGAAAGGTCCACAACCCTTTCCTGCCGACGCCCATGCTGCCTCCCCCACCGCCTCCTCCGATGGCCCGTCCCGTCCCACTGCCTGTTGACGCCAAGCCGCCCTCCACCTCCTCCACTGAGGGAGGAGGAAACTCACCCACCTCACCCAGTGAGTGTGCGCGCACACACACACGGCAGATTTAAGTACCATCACGCATCACTTCTGCGTGTTTAAACTCGATTTTCCTGCTGGCTGTCACGCCCCCACACAAAAGTAACGACGCATCAGGGTTCAGTTATTAATCTGATATTTAGTTCTCGTGTAATCTGTGAGAAGTGATTTGTGATTGGATTATTTCTGACTGCAGGGTTCAGTGACGCTTCCTGTCTTTTGGCGAAAACAGATACAGTCACTGCCAAAATATTTAATCCTCCTAATACTCATCAACGACACATGGAGACACTGAAATTTCTTTGTATTTATTACTGATGTTTTTGCTTGATGTGTTTGTCATCTGTCTGACCTACTTCTTCTAAATAACTCTGTCAAGTCTTTCAAAACTTTATTAACAACGGCGTAGAAAATATAAACTTTCAAATCAGGTTCCTCTGAATCTAACTTGATTTGGGTCTGAATTTAAGGAGATAAGGAGATTGAATTTACAGTGTATCAGAGCTCTGTCAGGTCATCATGTGTTAATAACGGGCCTGTGTGTTTGTTGTGCAGCCTACTCCACCCCCACCACGTCTCCAGCTCAGCGGTTCGTCAGCGTCGGACCTCGGGACCCCGGCTTTAACATCCCTCAGCAACCACAGGTAACCAACAAACACAGGTCTGTCAGCTGCAAACATGTTTACAAACATATAAACATGTTTATTTCTGCTGTAAAGTTTTAACATGGGAGTCTATGGGGACTAATTCACTGCTGGAGCCTCTGCTGGATGTCAGAGGAACTGCATCTTCTGGCCTCATTTTCAGCATGAGAGCGTGCTGCGCACACATGGTGTACCTGTGCTGGTCAGTGTGAAACTAGAGGAAGCAAAAAGAGGTCAGACACCCATCAGCCAATCGGAGAACAGGATTTTGGGATTTATAAACAAAGACATTAACAGGGAAAGAAGCAGCGCTTCACTTCAGGCCTGAATCATTTACTGCAGGGCAGGTGGTTAGTGAACACAGCATCCTCATTGGATACTGTGTGTGTGTGTGTGTGTGTGTGTGTGTGTGTGTGTGTGTGTGTGTGTGTGTGTGTGTGTGTGTGTGTGTGTGCGTTTGGGGGGGGTCAGGGTCTGTTTGCCAGCTGATTTATGAAGAGAGTAACGATTGGGCAGCCTTGACTTAACTCATCCTGCACGCACACACAAACAGTGAGGTGGGAGTCCTCTGTTGACAATCCAGACATGCTTGATCGCTTTGGTGTGTGTGTGTGTGGTGGCCCGCAGTGAACAAGGGTGTCGATTTATCGACTCTGTCACACACCAGCGCGCGCACACACACACTCTCTCTCGTGAAGACATGAGCCAGGTGTTTGTCACCGCTGCCAGAAACAGACTTGTGTTATTTATTCTTTCTCCGTCTCTCGGGGACGATGTCGCGCTCCTCGAGTGATGAGCAGCTTCTCCTCCAAAGGTTTCCTTTCTGGGAATGAATTTAACCGTCAGTCATCAGAAAAATACAAAAATATCCAGGAGAATTTTTGTGTTTTGTTGGAAAATAAAGAAAATTTGGTCTTTTTTTTAGTTTTATTTCTGCTTCAGATTCAGCAGGTTTGGAAAACGACTCACAGCTTTTTTAGGAAATGTGGACGTTGTTTGGAGAGTTTAAACACAGTAGAGAAGAAGACATGTTTTTAAAGCCAGCATGTATGTTTTTTAAATAAGAGATTTATTATTTTTGGGGGGGTTATGTGATGGTGTTTTGGAGGAAAGTGGTGATATTTTAGGGTGGAGGTGGACATGATGAGGAAGGATTTAACATCTTTAACATCACACTTGGGCTGGATTAGGTCCTCACACATGAATGTAAACACGTGTGAGTGTGTTTACATTTTTATATGTGTGTGGGTTGGGGGCAGGGGGGGCAGCTGGCGTTGTCTTTGTGTGAGAGTGGGCGTCATGCCCACACAGGTCAGAGTGGTGGTTGCCCATGGTGACAAGGATGGAGGGAAGACGCCGAAACTAACACACACATACACACACACAACATCAGGGAGAACACGGACTTGCGGTGGGACACTGGGTCAGAAAGTCAGTGCTGAGCCATGCTGTCAGCATCACTGGGAGGCGAGACAAAACACAAAAGTACAGAAGAACCACAGCATGTTCTCTCCCAGGAGCTCCAGAACCAGCCCAGAAACCACAAACGCACTCTGAAGTGCTCGTTTTCTGCTTTTCTTTTATTTCCTGTCAGATATCTGCTGTTCCAGTCGTCAATGTTCACATCAAACACGATCAGAGTTTCTGATACTGAGCTCAGTGTACAGCAATCTCTGCGAGCCCAGAGCTCAGCCACATCTACATACTCAGGTTATCACAGCTTTTTCTACTGTAGCATCAGGATGATGTTGCATAGAGAAGCCCCACCCACCCACTTTGGCAGGTGCCAATCAGATGAAAGCTAACTTGAGAGGCTGAAGCCAGAAGAAGATGGGGAAGATATTTTGAGCTGTGAATCATGCAAAGCTACTCTGGAAAGATCCAAGAAAAATATTATGGAGCTGTAAATGAGCAAAGCAGGTCCTCTTTAACGTCTTTTATGAGCCCGCTCTGAAGGACAGCTTGTATCTTTAAGACGTCAGAGGCTTTCACAAAAACCTGATGCTGTGCAAATGACAGCGAGCTGCAAAACTCAAAGACCTACATGAAAATCCTGCTTTTATTTGTGCCATAAGGGACACAAGTACATTTCACAGTCTGTAATTTTAGCTACTTTGATCATGTCTGTAATTCAGACATCAGGACTCAGGCACATGGACTCAATTACCAGGAATCACACAACAGGACTCCAGGACTCAAACATCAGGGTTTGGACACCAAGACTCAGATATCAGGATTCGGACATAGGACACCAGGACTCGGACATAAGGACACTAGGACTTGGACATCAGGACACCAGGAATTGGACCACAGGACTCCGATACCAGGACTCAGATACCAAGATTCTGACACCAGGACTTAGACATCAGGACACCAGGACTCGGACATCTGGAGTCACACATCAGGCTTCTGAACTTGTCTTTTTTATTCAATGAATATTTGTCTATCATCCATCTCTCTCCATCTATCATTGCTACTGTTTCTGTCTTGTCCTGAGTCAGCACTTCTCCAAGACTCACACACTCACTTAGTGAGTCATGATGTGGGTGTGGTGTTTGCACTGCATACGTGTGTGTGTTCAATACGAGTGTGTGTGTTTTAGATTCACCTTGCAAATCGAACACGGAGACGGTGGATGACTACACACACAAAGGGGAAAGCACCCTCACTGCCTCCAATGAAACTCTACCACACAAACACACACACACTTGTATTGATCAGGTTATGGCTGGCTGTGGTATCACGGTGTGTGTGTAAATGTTTTAGTACCAGTTTTTCAGAAATGAGATTCTTTTGAACTTTTTAGACTCTCAAAGACACAAGTGACTTTTTGTTAAACTGTCATGATATCAGGGCTTTTTCTCCACATGGACATTCGTACGGTGAAAGGTCGCTGTTGGAAGAAAAGAAGAAAATAGTCTTCATCACCTTTTGCTTTTAAGATAAGATAACCTTTATTAGTCCTACACGTGGGAAATTTGTTTTGAAACTGCCCTTGAGTTCCTCGTGTACCTCACACAGTTTTTCAAAGCTAATACTTGTTTGCTCCACAGCTCTGGTTGATAACTGGTTTTATATACCTCTATATCGGGAAATCTAAGAGATCTGTTGCATTAGCTTTGGTTGAGGCACACCTTCCTCTGCAGCAAATGACGGGCAGATGACACAGAGTGACTGTCACTGAAATCTTCTCTCTCTGAGTGATCGATAAGCCGTCATACTTAATCAATATGTTATCGATATCTCTGGTTTTTCACCGCTTTTAGACTGGTGCTGAACGGTGATTTAGACTGGTTTTACTTGTTACTTTGGATTGGTTTTAGACATTGTCTTGAACAGCTTTTAGAGCGTCTTACAGACTTCCCTGGATGTTCAGGATGGTTGTTGTGCCGCACAATGAATTACTTCCTTGAAGCTAAGAGCCACAGACAGAGTGGGATGTACCAAGGTGGACAACACATTGAGATTGCTGAGAATATGAAAAAAATGGAAAAACAACATCAGATTGCTCCTTTAAAATCGCCTTCCGTCTTTCGCTGTGATGAGTTTCTACAGTCTGAATCACAGCTGTCAGCATCAACCCACTGTGTGGTAACATTACTCCACACACACACACACACACACACACACACACTCTGTCTGGCCTGTGAGAGTTTCATCTTCTGAGTCTTCTCAGGACAGAGGGAGGAGCTGCAGTGCAGCGAGCAAGCGAGAGGCCGAGAGACACCGATAGAAACAGGAAGAGAGAGAGCGAGGTAGAAAAGTCCCAGCGTCAGCAAGTTGTATTGATTAAAAACTAACCTTCCAGTCTTCTCCTCTATCACTACTGCAGACACACACACACACACACACACACACACACACACACACACACACACAGCAATAGAATTACAACGAGTCAGGAGCAACTGAGGTCTGAGTGCAGAGAAACCCTGCAACACACGCACACAAAGAAAAAAAGGAATGCCTGATCCCGCGTGTTTCATTTAACTTTCACTTTAAATTCAAAATCCAGAAGCACATTTTCTAAAAAATGTACATTCTTTAAGTGTGTGTGTGTGTGTGTGTGTGTGTGTGTGTGTGTGTGTGTGTGTGTGTGTGTGTGTGTGTGTGTGTGTGTGTGTGTGAAGAAGTGCCGAGTGGGACGGGGAGGAGAAAGTGATCGAGAGAGGATGAACATAAAGAAACGGTGGGAGAGGATAAAAGAGGCGGGGTAGTGGGACGGGGATGTGGGGGGGTGATGCGTTTGCCTTGGCGATGGTAGTCACGTCCCGGGCCGTCTGGTTGTCCTTAGCAACCAGACATGATGTAACGCAGAGATGAACTTGAACTGGACGGGCCAGTGAGGAAGAGGAGGGAGAGATTCATGAACGATGCACCTTTGGCGATCGATACGAGCCTATCAGAGATGGATTACACACACACACACACACACACAGAGTTTTGTGCTCCTGTGTCATAAACTCATACCCAGAGAGGAGAAGCAGCGTCCTGTGTTTGTAGTCCGAGAACCTGACAGTCTGACATCAGCTTGTTGTGGGTTCGACTAAATCAAGCCCCACTGGCATCCCCTAGAGGCAGCAGTGTTCATTACAACCACAGGATTATCGTGCTGGAAAGAGAATATCCTGAGGATAGCATCAAATAGCAAATAACAGAAATCCAGCCTGGAGGGACTGTTTGAGGTGTACTTAAAGGAGGCAAAGTCTTTTAATTCCCACAGTGTATCTGTATTATTGGACAGCAGCAGAGTAGCTCGGCATGATACAGGGTTCAAAATTATCTTCTTCTATCTCTTTACATTATGCTTTAGTGCACCACCTCAGTTTATGAACATGCAGTTTTAGCTCCTGCCCCTGGGAAAGACTTTCTTCTGATTTGCTGCTACTCGTAAATGGAAGGGTTGAACATGCTTATATGGTGATCTCTGTTGGAGACTATTTAATCATATCATATCTCTATGTCACACAGACCCAATAGAAGAAAAAAATGGATAAATTGGTCTCAGAAAGTTGACTCTGTTCATCTGGACAAAGCGTTTCCAAGTTTCTGAGATTTCCTTACCCGGGAGATTGAGCATCCATCAAGACGTGACTGGGTGTTTAGAGCACTCTGTAGCCTAAGCTTTTAGCTCACAGTGATCACTGTACATACACTGACCTCATAAACTTCTAAAACTAAATTTTTTACACCTTTGCACTAGGGCTGCCACGATTAGTCGACTAATCACGATCACGTCGGCTATCAAAATTGTCAACGACAAATTTAATATTCAACGTGTCGTTTGAAGCTTTGTAAGATCCTGAAAGACGCAGGAATAAGTGGTAGGATTTAAGAGTTTAATAACAGACTGAAACAGAAGATGGCAGCAATGCATCTACAGCTGCCGCTAAACCCCGAAGAAGAAGAAGCAGTCTCCGGTATCGTAGCTGTGTCCAAATTTAGGGGCTGCATCCTTCGGATCCGATTATGTTACAGCGACGCAACGAAGGCTGTCCCAATTTGAAGACTTCTCCAAATGCGGCCAACAAATGCGTCCTCCTTTCCCCCAGATTTGAAGGCTGGGTTGGGTGTGTCCTTCGTGGCCCAACCTATCCCAGAATTCATAGCGCGGCCCAGCCAATTCTAGTTTCCAACAATGGCGGCAACTACTTAGTATTAATATTACTCGTATTACTCTTTCTGGGTCACAAAATAAACTTTTAAGATATTTTCAGGTGAGAATGTAGGTGTGTAAACTTCAAATATCTGCTCGGTTTATCAAGACGTCACATATTTGTAAAAGTGCTCCGATGTTTTTTGAGACGTCTGTTACCCACCAGCTCAATAGCTAGCCGGGGGGTTCAAGGCTCACTAGAGCCAGTGAGAAAACCGGACTCCCGGCACATTGTTTTCAAACCCCCCGCAGTCTTTCGCTACTCAGGTTAAACATGATATATAAGTCACTTAGATAACTTAAAAATAATAATAATTAAAATTAATTATAGTTTGACTTTTTTCAGTATTTTATTTGTTCCTGAGTAAATTGGTTTTGCTGAGATTAAAGTTCTAATTTTCGCACAGCTGAATAAACGTCAAACAGAAAACTGATTAAACAGAAGTGTGAGATGGTCGAGAATTTACTCCAGTGTCCTGTTATATTTTAGATAGCAAGGAGCAGACGGCTGAGTTTATTATACTCCACCGAGATAATCTGCAAATTTCATTAAAAGTTTAATAAACTATCATCTTGTCTTTATTTTTAGTTAGCACATAACTTAAACACTTCAAACTGTAAGCTAATGATAGCTATATAAGAGCAGACGCATGCTGATGCAATAAGCTGTATGTTTTACGTCCAATGGATGCATGATCTGATTAGCCGACTAATCACAAAAATAATCGGCGACTAGTCGACTATCAAAATAATCGTTTGTGGCAGCCCTACTTTGCACCCATATAACTGAGAGGAAGTATGGAAAACTTCATATTTGCCCTTTGTTGGGGGCAGCCCACCAGACACCATCAGCATATATTTTTGTCACCTGTCCTACAAAAACAGGCAGTTAATGCTTTAATTTTAATCCATCTGGGTCCCAACTGTCTGGAGGTTGAATGTGGGTTTGTTTGGCCTACTGTCAGTGTCAGAGTGAAGATCATTCATGGACACACCTTTTCTGGTCTTGTGTTGTAACAGGATATATTGAATAACAGTCTCACTTATTTCAATCTAAAGAAATAATTCATGTTTCCTCAAAGACATACTTGAGTTATCCTGAATTCAGGAGAACACACATATTTAGTTTGGCGCTACAAGCTAATCCACCTTAAGATTTATACTGTAACATCATGAATCCTTAAGTAAGTTTTTCCATATTCAGTTTTTAACCACAGTTTGGAGAATTGTTTCTATAGCAACAGGAGTTGAATGTATCATCTGCATAGAAAAGTCCATAAACTTCAGTCACAGTGTCATTGGTTTGTGGCCAATAACAAACCACACAACAAGCCGTCCTGAAGGCTGCACGGTGGGAAGATTTCATACAGCCTTAGACTAATCTTTGAAACCTTAGTGATATATGTGTAACCCCGCTGATTGGTTCTGGGTAAATTTGGACGACAAGTACCTGCAGTTGGGATCGTCCGGTAAGTGGTTGCTAAAGCAGTCCAGATGTTAACATCTGTTTTTATCTCTCCACAGTGGTACCTGGGATAAGGACTCCAGAGGCCCCTCCGCCCACCTGTACGACAGATCGCTGCAGTCTCCTCTCCGACCTTTCACCTTTGATGCCAGCTGTGACAGAAAGCCCAGTCTAACCTATCCCTATTCCTTTCCTGTTCCGCCTCCACCAGCACCACACACAGGCTCAGCAGCATCAGCATGGCTACAGCGGATCAAACGCACCGTGACCCCCTGCAAACTGTATATCACAGACATCCGTGCAAACGTATGGTTCACACCTCAGTGTCCATATACAGTGCCAGACCCACCCCCCCCAAATCCAACCAGGTTGATAAGTACGTGGGCGACCTGAGCCTTTGGGAAAGACTGAGTCACAGAGCTTCTGACGACACATATGCTCTCCCATCATCCTTTGCAGCGGGTGCATCCGTGGACTTACAGTCATACGAAACCCTCCCCACACTCATCACCTGCCCCCCCGTCTGGAGTCCGATGGTTTGGGGGTTCGTGAAGTTGGGATGTGGCACAGTTGGTACGAGGGGCCACCAACATCGCCACCACCTGAGCCTTCACGGACTTCCTGGGATGGACTTCACGCCCCTCGGTTGCTGGCAGGTCAGGGAGGGGGAAGTTGGAAGGCTCTTTGAAAGGACATGGACCTGGATGGATGTGGAGGTGTGACGGGCGCAAACAGACGCCCCCACCTGTTTCACAGAAATAACAAGAACTTCATGTGGAGGGGGGGGGCTGTGACGGGCGACTGGGTGGAGGGTGGGTATAATCGTGGGGTTTTAGGGTTTAAGGTTTTCTTTATGTGAAGTGTTGCGACCAGATGCTGGTGGATCCGAGTTTGTTCCTCTTGGATGCTTTTTGGCTTCACGGCTCATTGATTTTTCTCTTTTCGCCACCATTTCAGCCTCCTCGTCCTCCACCATCCACCCATGGGGGTGAAGCTACAGCATGCTAAGAGTGGGCCGAAAACTCTGGTGTCCGAATCGAGGCAGGCAGATAGGAGAGAGAAGAGCAACTCAAACTTTACCAGTGAAATATTGATCATGAGGAAAGTGCAATTTTGTTGGCTAGTTGTTGGATAGTTAAATATCTTTGTAAGATAGCTCGTTGAAAACAGTTGATGAAAAGTATATATAAATATATATTTTTCTTCCTAGTCCGCTCACACCTCTGGGACTCTAAAATAGCGGGGTAAAAAAGACAACCACACAGCGCTGAAGTCGAAACCACAGCCGGGTGAGAAATAAGGCGAGCTGTATTCACTTTTATCGTTTCTTCTTTGTCGTTTGTTCATCGTGTGAAGCTGTTAGATGGTAGAATGAGAATCCCTTTAACAAATATCATTTTAAACAATCAGTCTTTTAAAGCAGCTGAAGTCTGCGCTTCATTTTGTTTGAGGAGGGAAAAATACGCCAAGCGGTTAACTTATTTTAATGAGCACATCGTTTTACTTTCGATCCGAATTTAATGAAATCTGGAGAAAAAGTACCATGTGAGTTTAAGCTGAAAATAATCGCGTGGTTTAATCTTTTAACGGGTGCCGCCCAGTAAGGGCCGGCCCTGTGATTGGCTGGGTCTCCTAGAGGTCGTGCCCAGCCAAAAGCACTTATTCCCGCAGTTGGCCAATAGGCTGTGAGTTTGTAATCAGGGGTTTTGGTTTAGCTATGAAGAGGTAGAGCAGAGGGTAACTCTCTGGAAGCTTTCGTCCACAAACAGACGGCCGACAGCGCTTCACGTGCAACTCAGCATTTTATCGATCTTGAGTTTTGTTTTTCCTTTCCTATACTATATATATAAATATATACACACACACACACACACACACTTACGACCATCCAGCGTTGAACAAAAGTGAATTTAAGTGAAAAAGTTATTTAAAAAAAAAAAAAGAACAAAAAAATGCATGTTCTAGTGTTAGTGACAGATTTTTCCATAGATGATGTAGTTAGTGAGAAAAGACACTATATTGTAAACCCAACATCCGGCACTTGCCAGCAGCCGTCTATTAGTTTCCTCTTGCTGTCCTTCACAAACAACCAGCTCTCTTCGCTTCTCGTCATCTCTCCATCCTTTTTATTTCTCCTTCCTTCCTTTTCCTGCCACAACAGATCAGTTCTGCTTCGGTTTCGAGACGTTCATTCTTCCGTTTGATCTCAGATTGCACGGAAACACGTGTTCCTCATCGATGTGCCTTGAGCTTCAATTCAGTCCTGAGAGGTTTCATGAGATCTGGCGTGGAGAGTCGTGATTGGTTGTTTCTTTCCTTTAGTTTTCCTACTTTTCCTCCATACCCGAGATGTCGTAGAAGGCATTGAAGCTGAGGAGGAACCCTTTGTATTACGAGCTCTCGGGCCTGCGTGGCGTTCTGCCCCGCCCTCCAACACCTGCAGACCCGAGCAGATGAAATCTACACCAGCTACTATCAGCTCCATGTGCTAACAGCTAAAAGCACGCTGAAGTTTGGTGGAATGAGCACCCAGTGCGAGGTCATGTGACGTGATGATGTCTGGTTTGAACAAAAGGAAGTGAGCAGCACGGTTTGAGCCAACAGTTCTGCAGCTAAAAGTAGGTTTCAGGAAGTGCAGAGGTCAAAGTTCAGGGTTTAGCAGTTTGGTCTTAGTTTTACAGCTGAAAGTGTTCAGCCAACAGTTTCATGATGGCAGACTTTTCAGTAAGTGAGCCGACCACATCACCTAATGAGCAAAACGTCATCCAGGTCTTGGTGGTCTTACGCACTTCACCTGAAGGCAGCTGGACTTCTTCTTAAGGTTCCTCACCTCACTGAGAGGCTTCCTCCATCCTAAAAGTTAATGTGGAGTCCTGGTATTTCTCTCAGGACCTCCTCCAAGGTGACAACCTGAGACTCCCTGTTTCTAGAATGGAGGAAGTGTATCCTTTAGAAGTAGGATGAGGAGTTCACTCCTCCTGCTCCTCCACATCAAAAGGAGGCAGCTCACCTCAGAGATTACATATCTCGGCTGTCCTGGGAACCAGCACCGCCGCTGTCCTTGGAGGTGGCAGAGGCAAGGGAAGTCTGGGCCCGGCCCCAGATAACCTGCAGAAAAAGTCGAGCAGCTTTAATGATAAATGTTAACAGAGCAGCATATTTGTTCGCCATGAGCAAAACAAAATGTGAACGAATTAACACACCGACAGGTTTTAAATATCACTCTGGGTCACCACACCTGAATCAAATGATAAGTTCATTACCAGGCCTCTGGTGGTAATTTAGCCATTTAAATCAGCTGTGTTGGATCAAGGAGACATCTAAAACCTGCAGGAAACCGGCCCTATTTTAAAGCCTGGTTAGGACACTTTTGGTCCGATGCATTCCAGACCAGCTTGTTACAGGTGTTTAGATGGTCACATGATTCTCTGAGAGTCTGCTACGCCTGGTGTGAGTAGGCTGTCACTGCAGGTGTGCTCATTGCACTGACCTTCACGCTCGTGTTGAAGGGGCAGACTGCTCTCCTGCGATGACTTGCGTCTGTTGCTGCGATCTCTGAACAGCAAAAAAACGTTTCTTTCACGTCTTCCTGTTTCCATTTTCAGTCCGTCAGTTCGTCTACTTTTGTTCCCACATTTGAATAACAAGGACATAAAATATGCAATACCTGCTTGCACTCAGACTTACGTAGTCTTCTGTTTCGTCTGTTTTGTGTTTGTTTTTTTCTTTCAACCAAAGTTAGCGTGCATGTGACTTCTGTCATGCTCCATGGTCAGTCCCTGAAAATGGTGAAGCCCCGCGGCGCCGCTCAGGGTGATTTACTCCGTTTCTTCCTTCCTTCCTTCCTTCCTTCCAGACAACCACAGTCTGACATCCGGGTCTCTCTTTCCCAAATCCTTTTTATTTGATTCCTTTAGTTGCCTCCGACAAGTCCAACTTCTCGTCCATCGTTCGGAAACGTTTCCGACGCCACTGCCCGCCTGCTGTGACGGCGCCCGCGGCTGTGACGGTCGAGTGGTTTCTCTTGCGGGTGCCGTGTTTCTTCCTCGTGTTTGTTCTGTCTCTGTTCTTGCCTACCCTTTAGCCATGAGTTGGGCATTAATTATCTGCACTAAATATGAAATAAATAGTGAAAAGTATGAAATTTAAAAAATAAAAAAAATAAAAACAGCTTCCAGGGCTTAAAGCGAGTGAAGGGAATAAAATATTGCACGGACATTTTTTTGAAAGTGTCAGAAAAACTAAAAAAGCAGCCTAGCATCTAATCAGCGACGTACGGCTGCATGTAAGATAACAACCCAATTGCACCGTTTTTAAAGACAGAAGATGATATAAAGCAATAGTTTGGGCAGCGTGTTTTGTTCTCGTGTTGTGTCATTTAGTTCAGCGGCGAAGAGACGGGCGGTGGGCAGAGCAGCAGCTGACTGCAAGACTTGTTTGTATGTTGTATAGTTTTATTAATTACACTGATTTTAAAGCTGCCCTATTTTCTAATGCAGGACTTTTGTAACATTGATTAAATGAGGAAAAAGTAGTGTTGTGAATTTTCTGATCGTTTGTATCGAGGCCACATTACTAGAACTGGTTGGTTTGTTTTCTGGGAACTGGACTTGAGTTGAAAACTTTCCTGTTTCCTGATTTGATTTCTTAGTTTTTCCTTTATTTGTTTTCCTTTTTTTGTGTATTTAAGGACATTTCCTCTGTTGATGGTTTAGCATATTCCTGCACTTACACGTTTGGGCGCTGTGGTGATCAGACCTTTGTAAATGGATGTTACAGTATGCTGTATGTTTTTGAAGGTTCTTTGTTGCATCAGTGTTGATGAAGCTAAATCCAGTAATTCTGAGGAAAATTGGTAAGAAAAGCGAGTTTTTTATGCATTTTTAACATTTTCGTTTTAGGCAGGAGACAATGACATAGCCAGCCAAAGGATGCCCCTACTATAAATGCATCTCGGCATCTTTTTTTGTGTTCACCATTCCATGCGGGAAAATAAACAGCTTGATTATGCAACATGATTCTTTTTCTTTTCCATCTGTTTCTTTCTTCACTGGCCCACAAGATCACCACCTCCTCCTCGCCCAGCCCTCCTCGAGCCTGGAGGTCCGCTTTGATCTCCGTCCATCCACACATCTGCTGCTGCTCCTCACATACAGTCAGCAGGTATCAGCCGGCGAGCGGCGAAGGCCGGCTTCCAGCGTGCTCTGAGGTCCCGCTCGCGATGTTTAGAGTAAACATTGAGAGGCGAGAACACCAGCGAAGCTGCAGCTGGCGCTGTGGCCTCTGATTGCTTACAAGGGTCAAAGCGTCACGATGGCCACGGTGGCAGCAACGGTATTGTCATTGCCAGCCCCTTGCTGGCAGCGCCGCCATCTGTGACAGGAAGCAGGAAAAAAATCGCACGTTAACGTCAGTCAGTCAATGTGTCGTTATCCTGCTGCTAACACGACACGTCTAAAGTTCAGTCGGGTGATTGAAGGAACGTGATCGGCAGAAACGGTTAAAGTTTAGAAGTTTAGGATTTTTACACGAGTCCACCTGTATCAAATTTTTTCTCACTCTAATGTAAACCAACTGACTCGACCAATCAGGTAGTTCCGTCACCTTTACAGTTTTGTCTTCGGAGAGGACGCCGACAGCTGCCCCGAGTGGTTTTACCGCTCGTTTGTGACTCAGATTCTAACTGCAGCAGGTTCCTGTCGTTTCATCTACGAGTCTGAGCTGCGCAACGTCACAGAAAACGCATAGCGAGCCAAAACCCGCATGGTGCTGCTGCGGTGACTGCACGTCCGGCCCGCAGCTCGTGTGCTCAGCGTCGGTGTGTTTTGAGTTCAGGACAGACTCAATCAGCGGAGCAGCAGTGGTCACGCTGGAACTCGTTGGAGAGACCCGGCTCTCTCACCCACCACACCTCCTTTACATTAAAAGACACATAAACCCCACCCCCACGCTGTGTCCAACCGGCTGAACCACCAGCAGGGGCGTTTGTTCGAAACACCTCACCCGCCTGCAGCCTCCTCCACTCCACTCACCCCCACACAATCATCCAAAGCTACCAGACAGAGAGCTGGAGTCACAGACTGAAAAACTCCAGAGGAGAGCCGCCGCCCGTGTCTCCTCCTCCTCGCTGCTAACCGTAGATCCTCGGGTTGGAGGAACCGTGCCGCTCCATCAGGAAACAGGGTTGAATGAAGGCCGCGCTTTTTACGCTAATGCCTTTGTTGTCTTCACGTTTGTCCAAATTCTCCTGGGCAGCGATTAACCCCTCCCACCTCACACACCCACCCCCGCCACCCGAGAAACACATCAGACCGGGCGCCGTGCGAGTCTGCGGGTCGGAAACAATCCGAAGGGGAGTCGGTAGAGCCAGGTGTTTTTTGTCCACCCAAGGGTGAAGGCAGAGCACTCTGGTGGGATCCGCCCCCACGCTTCGCTCTAAACCGAGTCCAAACGTTTCCCACGGAGCAGGAGGAAGACATCTTTCAGCACGTCGCTGTGCCGGAGCGCCAGCCAGGAAATCAGTACAAATGGCTTCAGTTTAGAGAAATGAAGGAAAGTCGTTGGACGCGAGGCAGGTAGCACTGGAGCTGCTCTCCGGCGCTCGGCTGTAATGAATCACGGTGTCACTGTTCCTTTGCAAAGATATTTATTTATCCTGCAAACATTACAAGGTGCTAAGTGTTAAATGGAGCCAGTGAAGCTGAGCTAAGCTGCAGAATGGGACAATTTGAACTCGCCATCATGCTTCCTGACAGCGTATCACAGCATAGCAGTCTAATCTGCATGAGAACTATGCACTGACTAAAAACAGACACCCACACGTGCACGTGGCACGGTGTGGCACGGCAGCCCATGTGCGTGCGCCCGCCTGCTCGCCCACGTGGACTGGTTTGATCTAAAATCTTCAGCCTCTGCCTTCTTCTTCTTCTTCTTCTACGGTCGGTCCTTCCATTTCCAGATCCCAGCGAGTTAAACATGTGAAAAGAAAAGAGAAACCAACCAGCATATTACACGATATATCAAAAAAGATCAAATGTAGTGCCTGTGAACTCCTGTATTATAATGCTCTTCTGAATACTGATCCAATAATTGTTTGTAACTGTTGACATTTCTGAACACCAGTAGCCTTTGCTGTCTGTCAGGCCCCTCTGATTATAGCTGATGTACAATAACCATGAGATATAACTGCATGCTCTTCCATAATCGCCTAGTAAGCTGTGACGAAGACGACAAATGAGAAAAAAAAGACAACTTCTGTTTCTGACCTCTCCCTGTACGCCTCAAACTGACTCACCTCCTCTCCTTCATCCTCCTCATCCTCTCTCATCCACCTCTTTCTAATGGGCGTGCCACCATGATGACTGCCCCAGGCCGGCGCCGGCGGCCTCAGCCCCGCCGGGTTTCAATCCGACAATCTCCAGTGAACTTTTTACATCAGCAAATGCCCGGCTGGCCTGGCCTCCCCACCTCCTCCCCTCCCCCTGTGCATCCATTGACCAGCAGAAATCTGTATGTGGCTCTGGGTGAATCCCCCTCCTCCTCCTCAGGCAGTTTCCTGCAGGAGACCGAATCGATGGCCTCGGCCTTTTTCTGCAGCGCTCAGCATTCTCCAGGACCGAACCCCCTCCTTCCTCCTCCTGCCTCTGCTGCGTCTCCCTCAGTGGGGCTTCAAACGAGCTGCTGCTCCTCCAGGATGAGAAGGGTTTAGACGGAGGAGGTGGTAGCTGCACCTGGGAGACCCCCCTCCTCCTCTCCCACCTTCTCCTCCTCCTCTCCCAGGCCAGCTGGGGTCGATCGGCTCGTCTAGCTCACCTCCAGTGGCTCCTGCGTCTGTCGATGCCGCTCGGCTCTTTGAAACCGAACAGCTCCTTCGACTCGTGCGTCTCTTTCAGGCAGGAAACTTTCTTGATGACCACACGCTTTTGTTAGAGGACACCGCCGCTCGATTCGCCTCCCGCCTGCTTCACTGCAGCCGGTTTTCTAAAACATGCTCTCCTGTTTTAAACTCTTTATTCACGTCTTTATTTCTGAGAGCTCCTCAGTGCACAGCTCTGCACAGCTTAACCCTCAAACAGCCTCGACATACTGCTCTGTTTGTGTTCTTCACCGTTTCCTTTTCCTGTGACGGATGATCTAAAATGTTTTCATGTCATTAATGAAGGATAATAATAATGAGCCAACCCGACTGTCTGAGAACTGCAGACAGTACAGTCTAAAGATTAAAGTCACAATCAAAGCAGCATTTCCTGTAAAAATAAAAACAAAATAAATAATCTGCTCTAAATATCTTATCCATTTAAACATGTAGTAACAAATGAAATAACTGCAAACTTGCTATTACATTGCATGTGCAATACATTCTGGGCCCATGACATCATCAGCCAACATCAGCTTCCAGAGTTCAGCTGCTGGTTGTGGTTTGAATTTCTGTCCCAAAGGGAACAGTGATATTATTCTGCACAGCAGAAGAGGAGAGACGATGAAGACAACTTCCAGAGCAGTCGCTGTGCTCTCAGTACTTCTGTCCTGAGGAATGTGATGCACAGAAAGACTCACAACAGCAAACAACATTAACGTCCTGTCAGGACCACGAACTTCGTCACGCGGTGATGCATGGTTCCCGGTGCAGGTCAATACGGTTGGTGGATGTAGACGGGGAAAAGAAAGTGGTCACTGCATGAAACTGCTCATGATCAGGTTACGGGTCATGACCTCAGCAGAGAGACAAGCTGCTGCTGCGGCTGATGATGATGAGTTTATTGAATATTTTTTTGGATTTTTTTTGGGCATAAAATATGAAGACAAAATTCACCAAAATCAAATAAATAAATATTTAATCTCACCGACTCAAACAGAACTACAAATCGACACAAACTTACACCAACGTGAGTTTTCATCAGAGTGCTCCAATGTCTCCTGATCAACGTGCACGAAGTGAAGATTTTTCAGTTTAACAAGCAAAACATCCCATGAGGCTTGAGAGGTGTCATGATCGTATGTAATACCAATGTAATAACCTGAGGCGGTTAAACTGATTGTATTATTTTTATGTATTAATTAAAAACACATAAATATTTAAAAACTAAAAACATGTTTAAACAATAAAAACAAATTTGAAACTGAAACAAAAAGAAAGAAAGAAATATAAAGCAGTGAAAAATTCTAAACTGTAAGTCAGAAAGACGGGCATTATCAGGTGGGGTTGGTTGCAATGTGGCTTGTAGAGGCAGAATCAGCTTAAACAATAAAACCTGTTCCCAGTTAAATGTGTAGATGAGAATCAGCTGATGTGGACAGGCTCTGAAATCAGCTGATCTGCTGAGATTGAGATTAACTCCATGCTGGATAGAGTGGAATAAAATAGAATAGAATCCAGCGTTAGGAGTTTTTGCCCTGTATTTACATTTTTGTTCAAATAAAGCCAGGGATTCATTTTTTGATTATTTTTTTTAGTTCACTCATTTTGATGTTTGAGGCCGTCATCAAACGTATTGATCTGCTCAATCAGCTTTCAGAAGCTTCTGTCGTTGCCTTTTGTCCTGTCCGCTGGAGGTGAAGCTAACAGTCACTAACCCACGACAATCTCGAGGAAGGAGAGCTTTATCTTTACCCTGAGCGTTGCTGGGCAGGCGGGCCGCAACCCGGGGCAGTCTGAGTCACATAACCGTATCCCATCATCCCACTCTCACTGCCCAAATCACCATGGAAACCAGACACCATCTTCACCCACACCGCCACCCTGTGTTTAACCATTCAGCCATCAACTCCACCTTCATTCTCACCCAGAACTGACTGAAACCTTGTGCCTCTACAACTCTTTTATGGAACAGGGCGGCGTTTTCTGCTGCTGCCGCGCCGGTCCACCACCCGGTGTGGCCAAACCTTAGTTTGTGTAGTCTCCATTAGCTGTCCATCCTCTGTGTTCTGAAGTTTGCACTGACTTCTCCGTCTGTCCTTCGGTTTCTCTCGTTTCTGTTGAAATGGTGAACTTTAGGTCCATCCCTCCCAGCCCC